TTTTTAGAAAAGTATTTACGGTTTCAAGAAACGTGTCTAAGCAATATTGGAAAACTGTCATTTAAGCTGTTTTTGTTGCCCGTTTCCACAATACAGGGATCCGTAGTGGGCATGAAGGTAGTGAGAGAATCTGTTAACACGACTGTACAAAAACAAAAAGACGGGTGGCAGATGATCAGGTTATTACATGCGCATTACTGACGCAATATCAGCATTTCACTTTTAAACGTGATGGTTATAATACACTGGGATCAGTAGTGGGGAAGATCAGGCAGTCAGACAATGAAAGCCAGAAATAAGCCCGGTGTTCCCCGGTCTTCTCTCAATGCATTATTGTAGGGTCTACCTTACAATATAAAGCGCCTTGAGGCGACTGTTGTTGTGATTTGGCGCTATATAAATAAAACTGATTTGAATTGAATATTAGTTTTAAATATAGTTAATATTATATCGCCATATTTGGATTCCTTATACTTACTATAGACTGCAACACATGTTCAACTGCATTTCTGAGATAAAACTAAATGTTTCAGCAGTTCTTATGAAACAAATTACTCATCAGATTTTTACTTGATCATCGTGACCAAAAACTTAAAAGGATATGTAATATTCTCATGTTGTGTATTTAAAAACTATTAAACAAACAAACACATAAATAGCAATCACACTACTGGTCAGACTTGTTACTTTGCTTATTAAAGTCTTTTGTTGTTGTTGTTGTTGAAAACATCACATCACAAATATCACTTTAGCATTACTGACACAATAACATCAGCATTTCGCTTTTAAACATGATACTTGAAATAAATACAAGTCTGGTGTGACAGTCCCGCTTCAGCAATATATCGTTTCATTTGCAGACATTTTAAATAAATCAGGGTATCCGTAATTTATAGCGCAGCACCTCAGCTATAACTTATATTTCTAATATTTCTGATGCTTTTAAATAGCATACAGTAGCTGTTCTGTGCATCTACAGTTTGTAGCATTTAACAGCAATTACAAAATTCTACTTTTAATTTCCCACAGCCGTGTTTTAGTGTTCTTGTTTACACACCGTTCCCCGCCTCTGCTCATAGAGGAGTTAACCTTGTCGTCGGATACATTTATGTGTTACACCTGTGAACAGCTGCTGTGTTATAGTTTATTATGCGGCTTACCAGAGAGAAATGACCGGAACTCAAATTATAATGTAGTTAGGTTTAAATGCCTAACATTACTTAATACACAGCAAATCCAGCATGTCCAAATTAACACTGTCGGATTTGATTTCAACACTATTAAAGTGTCTATATGGGTCCACACCAGAGAGTGTTAATTTAACTCTTTTTGGAGAGTTGGTACGTTAACTCTGATTTAGTGTTAAACACCAAATCTGTCTGGAGTTGATAATTTAACACTTGGTGTTAAGAGTTTATATATTAACTCTCAAAGAGTATTTTAGTTTAACTACATAAGAGTTATCTTCTAATTCATTCTTAAAAGTGGGAATTTTACTGTTCTGAACTTCTAGAAATTTCTTTTGGAAATAAACATTTACTAAAAAGATGCAATGGTTTTTTAAAAACATTTATTCTGAACTGTGCACCACAATTTCAAAACATTTTCTGAAAGATGTAACAGTGTACATGTTCTCACTTTCATTAGAACTTTGTTTATCAAAAGGTCTGACATGGTAAATGCAAATAACAGCATTCTCATCACTTATTTCTTCAATACAATATGCATGTCCTTCATTCATCCCTTTGTGGAACTTCAACGCACTTCTGCTCTCCCCCATATTCCATCTTCACAAGCATATCCTGTGTGGAGATTGAATAAAAATTAGTTGACACTAATTAATGGCACAAATAATCCAGTAAACAATTGCAGCACAGTAAAAAAAAAAAAAAAAGGAATCCTCTTTGAGCCATTACTTGTGTAAAGTATTTTCCCAAAAGACAAGGACACAGGCAACAGGTAATACTGAACTAAATGTAAAACCTCAACCTTTTTCATTTTTACCTAAACCGTGTGCACAAAACTCTGGAGGGATCTATGCTAACGTAGAACCCAGTCAGGACCCCTGCTACTGCTGTTTGCTCGGGTTTTGTTTTATGGGCGATCGTTTTCAGGCTTCAAGTAGCACCATTATACCAACCTGTCACATTCTAGACATTGTTTTAGGTGTATTTGACCAAAGGTTTGACTGAAAATTCACATGCAAGCTTTTTTTCAAGGCTGTGGCATTTGCCCGCAAACGATACCTTTCAGCTAGCTAAAACAGAATATTATGCTATCAGCGAGCAACATGGCTAATGCCTTCCACACAGCTTTGTCTCAACTCCAAAGAGCCACAGAAGTAAAAGCTCATAATAATTGAAACAATCTTTGAAAAAAATGACTTACCAAGCATGGCAAACAACTCAAATATGTAGAGCAAAATGTTCTGAAACGGCTTCACTTCAGCTTCGATTGGAGCCGTGCTGGGGGCGGAGTCTGGGAATTTACTCTATTGGTGTCATAGCCCCTCTAGGAGTTCAGAGTTAAGAGGTCAAGAGTTAATGTTTCCATTGTAACACCTCCAGATTTGACAGAGAAACACACATTTTTAACACTCGATTTTAACTACTATCATTTTACACCTCAGAGTTACATTAAAAGAATGTGACTCTGCTTAGAGTAAAATTAACTCTACTTTTGCAAGAAGACTATTAACACCAAAACATTTAACACTTTTGAATTTGCTGTGTACAACTGCTGATGGGAAAACGCCTGCATTTTGCACGTTTATGTACTGACCAGTCGGGGGAGCTGTTCTCTTTCACATTAGGAGAAGAACCGCGTCCGACTTGATACCAGCACTGATCTCTGCTGAAGAACTCAGTAAATGTCTCGTTAAACCATTTTTATATAGATTGTTTAAAACCTATTGCAGGTCATTATAAGAACCTTTGAATTTGGTGTGTGTTTTTTCACAGAAGGGAGTATTATCATTATTTTTATCATCATTATTATTACAGGGTGTGGTTGTATTTCATTGAGATGTCAGCAGTGACGGATAGAGGGGTGTGCTTTGGATGTGGCGGAGCCAGCTGACGTGTTTGCCGGTCAGCCAGAAACACACAGTGCGTGGTCCTCACAGGTGACAGCGTTTGTCTCCTCTGGCCCTGTAAACACATGCAAATAGCAGAACAAAGAGCTGAATAATCACACATACACGTGACAAATTAACAGATTTTATAGCGAATCAAAAACTAGTTTCTCCTCTTTTCTCATGTGCTGCAGGAAAGATGAAATTGTGAAAACTGTCTCTGAGAATTTTTAAGTCTCGGCAGTTTTCAAAAGGGAGCTCAGCATAAACATGTCGACATGGGCCTGTTTGTTACACGAGGCCTGTTTATTTTATTAATCCCTGCGCTTTTGTCGGGAGACTTCAGACTTTTGTCAATCGGAAGTTGGTGTGAAGATGTTTGCTCAGGGGTAAACTGAGAGCGTCACTGGTCTTAGCGCAGTTAGTTCACAGAGACGTGAATGATTTCTTTTTTGTTTGTTTTGCATTTTGCAGTGTTTTCAAGAGATGAGTCTCTGTGCTCTTCAAGGCCAAACATAGAAGCGTTATCAAATATTGAGATTAACTTTTATGTCATCGGGACATAAAAACCGCATATATACAATCACTGTTTATGTTTAATAAAAAGAAAAACTGACTGAGAATTTGCTGACTTTGCCTCCAAATAAGGTTTTTCAAACACTTGTTTCTACTTGGATCACCAAAAGCTTTTCGTTTAGGATTCTTTGAGTTTCGTGTCTCCTTCATACGAGCATCGTTTAAGAAAATAAATAAATATTTCAGATAAAGCCACGCGGTGCTCCATGCAGGCCTGCTTTGTTTAGTATTATTTTTTATATAAATAAGTTCTTAAGTAAAAATAAACCTTTTTTCATTTACTAACATCGGCAAAAGCTTGATTTATAACAGAAAATATGACAGACTTCTCTGTGAAAATTATTATCTACAATACTGAACTTTAAAAACATGAGAGAAATATGAGTCTTGTCTGAAATAGAGCAGTATGGCGGGGAAGTTCGTCTTTCAGCAACAAAACAAACCACATAGTTTAGTTTTTTAAAATCTGATCTTCAATCAAGTTCTTAGTTTGTATGATAAGATTAATAATTTAGATTATTTGAAAAAATATTTAAATAAGGAAATGTAAATTTCTAAAGCCTTTAAATTACTTTGAATTCGGCTAACACCTCTCACACAGAAATCACCGAGAACTTCCATGGCTCTGTTAACACTCCGTCTAGTGCGAGTGACATTTGGAGGTCTTCATCTTTCAAAAACGTCTCAGCAGCCGCTCGCGCCCTGGGGAACTTCTCCACACCCAGCTGGGCCAAATGAGCTTCATTTAGCCTTTAATTAGTTTGTGCACACCGCCCACCGGCGCTGTCGGGGAGGAGCGGGGAGGCATCCACGCTCTTTCATGTCCGCTTGTTTATTCAGAGGCTCAGGCTCATCTGATATCTCACAAAACTGACAGGTCTCAGATCACCGTGCATCGCTGAAGGGATTTAACTGCAGTTTTAATTGTGCACGTTCGCGTTTTTTTACATTTTGGAAATTGATATCAGGCTCGTGTCTGCTATGAGAGAAATTCCTTAAGAATTTGTGGTAACCAAAAAAAAAACCCAAGAAAAAAACAAAACCTTATTCCGATCAATTATACACAATAAATCCACTTTCTCCATTTTCACCGTGAAGTTATTTTACGAGTCTCAAAATGAAGAGTTAATAGAAAATAATAAATAACTCACAATTTGGGCCATTAAATGAATCTTTTGGCACTTTGGGCACACCCTGAAAAGCATTTTAATAATTCCGTGATCTGAACTGAGAAGTCAGGGAAAGAAGTGCGGGGGAGGAGGAGAAGGAGGGGTGGAGGAAAGAGTGGGGGTAGTAACTTTTATCACCGTGCAGCGTTTCCACAGGTTCATTTCGCCGTCCCATTGGATAATGGAGCACACATTCGGATTCGGGGTGGAGCAGTCCGAGCAGCCAAAAGGGAGGAAAAAAATGTGAAGGGTAAAAAAAAAGTTCCTCGTTGCAACTCCTCCAGCCCTCTTAGTTTCCAAATGTTCACTGTAGCAGTGCGTGCTCTCTTCGGTTCACCCTGGCGAGCTGCGGCTTAGAAAAAGGAACTTCTACAGTGAACAGAGAGCTGCGAGAGAGATCGGAGCGCAAGCTGAAGTTGTGACAGTTTGTGGAGGGAGAGCGCTTTGGGGAGGTTTTACGCATTGCGCAGGATGCAGGCGCGCTATTCCGTCTCCAGTCCCAATTCTTTGGGAGTCGTGCCCTACATCAGCAGCGATCAGAGCTACTACCGGGCCGGCGGGGGATACACGGGAATGCCTGCGGCTATGAGCATGTACTCGCACGCAGCCCACGAGCAGTACCCGGCCAGCATGGCCCGGCCGTACGGACCGTACACTCCTCAGCACCAGCCGAAGGACATGGTGAAACCCCCTTACAGCTACATCGCCCTCATCACCATGGCGATTCAGAACTCGCCAGAGAAGAAGATCACCCTGAACGGGATTTATCAATTTATCATGGAGAGGTTCCCCTTCTACCGGGACAACAAGCAGGGCTGGCAGAACAGCATACGGCACAACCTGTCCCTCAACGAGTGCTTTGTTAAAGTGCCCCGGGACGACAAGAAGCCCGGTAAGGGCAGCTACTGGACTTTGGACCCCGACTCCTACAACATGTTTGAGAACGGCAGCTTTCTACGGCGCCGGAAGAGGTTCAAAAAGAAGGACGTGCAGAGGGACAAGGACGAGCGGGACAGGCAAAGCAAAGATCCCTCTGTCCGCACGGCGGGCCGGGAGCCCGAGCCGTCCATGCAGGGCTCCCAGCCGGTGCGGATCCAGGATATAAAGACTGAGAATGGGAACTCCACGCCGCCTCAGGCCGCATCCCCGACCCTGGGCGCCGTGCCCAAAATCGAGAGTCCAGATAGCAGAAGCAGCCTGTCAACGGGCAGCCCGCACAGCGTCCCCTCCACCCGGTCACTCAGCATCGAAGGAACCGAGCACCATCACCACGGCCAGGCCCCTGCGCAGGGCTTCAGCGTGGATAACATCATGACCTCCATGCGGGGGTCTCCGCAGGCCGAGCTCTCCCCACCTCACATCGCCTCCTCTCGGACAGGTATCGCCCCTTCACTGCCGCTCAGCTACTCGCCGAACCAGACGTCCGCTTACAGCTCAACGACCTGCAACCAGAACGCCATTTCCACGGGCTCCAACGCCACTTATCACTGCAACATGCAAGCCATGAGTCTATACGCAGGGGATAGATCCTCCAGCGGCCACCTGGCCCCTTCCACCACAGTGGACGAGGCTCTGCCCGATTATTGCATCACCACGACCACCGCGTCCTCACTTGGGCACGGAAACCTGAGTCAGGCGGGCCAGGACGGTCACCACGCACACCAGGGTCGGCTCGCATCTTGGTATGGGGACCTGAGTCACTTGAGCCCGGGTTACCCGGCGCAGCAGCAGAACTTCCACTCGGTGCGGGAGATGTTCGAGTCCCAGCGGATCGGGCTGAACGGCTCTCCATTGAACGGGAATAATAGCTGTCAGATGGCCTTCCCGTCCGGACAGTCCATCTATCGCACCTCAGGAGCTTTTGTTTATGAAAAGTTCTGAAAGCCAAGCGCATCTTTTAAATTAATAACTCTAATATATAATTTCTCTCTATATTTTTTTGTACTTTTGGTCTTTCATTCACACTCCGAATGGACAAGCGATTCAGAGAGATTTTTTGTCTTTTGTATTTTTTGTGCAGAGCTGTGTAACACCAAAACACGTAAGTTTCCTTCCCTCTCACTTCGAGAATAGTTTCTAAAGATGGCTCAAACCCGGCTGTTACGACTAGACTGTAAATTATAGCCTAATATAGTAATTTATTTTTTAGGAAAAGGGAGTGGTTGGACATTGAGGACCAAACACTTTTTCCCCCTCCGCAGTTTTCTTATTGCTGCATTTTAATTGTCCCAGTTCTTGTATAGAAATAGAGGGACTGTGTAGCCTATACTGACTTATTCTATTCATTTTGTGTTATTTGTTTAAAAAATACTTTGAAGGCATTACATTTTGTTTTGTTTAATAAAGTGCCGTTTATTTGAATTTGAGTGATTTATTAGTAACGCTAGAGCCAAAGTAAGGGGACATTTCTTGAATTCAGAAATAGCTGCACGGTAGTTAAATATATTTCAATTCAAAATGTATTATAAAGCGCTAAATTCACCTAAACGTTCTGATTTTTTAAAGAGAGAAGGAGAAAGAAATAAACAAAATAAAAGCCCGTTTATGCGTATTAAAGTATTTAAGTGAATACATAAATTTTCCAACTTGATGGAAAAGCTTTTATAAGTCGGTTGACTTCAGACTGTGGCCCATGCACAGGCGAGCCGAGTTTACCTTTCAAAGTGAAAGCAGCTTAGCAGATGCCATTTTCTTTTTTTAATGCGAGGCTCCAGCCTCACCTGCGCGCTGTATATGTTCAATCCTGGAGTGTAAACGCCGGCGGTAAATAAATGCACGTGTGGCAGCAGCTCACCAACGCGGTCTGAACTCACTGAAGGCCTTGTCAGCAAAACAAATCAGTCATTGCAAAGTGAGCAGGCTTCCGTCTGACTGCTGTTTGGGAATGATGATGGGAGCTTTTTGGATGCAGTTGTTTTTGGATTTGTCTTCAGAGTTAATTTTGCTGCTGGAGGAGACCCCCGCGTGGGGTGGGGGTGGTGGGGGGTCCTTGTTGATGCACCAGGATGACGGCCTGATGGGTACGATCTGTGACAGAGGGATGTACTGCAGCCAGCTTTGCTTTATTTTTAAATGTTTGTTTGTTTCCTGGAGGCTCGAGATTTACCGCAGCTCTGGCTGATTGAAATATTACTGCTGTGTCACGTGTTTACTCCAGTAATTCCCCGATGACTTGGGGACCCCCCCCTCCCTCCTTAAAGAAAAGCAACAAAAAAACAAGGTTGCTATTAAAACTTTACAGCGGCCTTTTAAAAATGTCATTCTTATGCGCGTAGGCAGTTTTACACGGAGACACGCATGCTCAGTGTTAATTAGATATGGTCCCTGAAGTTTCTTTAAAAAAAATCTGACTTTAGAAGAAAAAAATATATATATATACATATATCTAAAGTTAGAAAAGAATAATCAGGAAAAATATCAGTTACATGTAACTTCATGGCGGGAACCCCTTAATCATGCAAAACAATTATATTATTATTCATTATTATTATAATAATCTTATTAGCGAGTACATATACTCCACACAATAATAATAATAATAATAATAATAATAATAATAATAATAATAATAATAATAATAAAAATTATTATTATTTTAATGGCGGCTTCTAACCTCTGCAATCATCGAGCTGCAGGGCATTAAAGCTGAAAACAAAACAGAGCAGTGTGTGTGTGCGTGTGTGTGTGTTTTAAGTGGCTGGTAGTTGAAGCTTAAACGTGACTGTTAGTTTTCGGCCCGTGTGGATTGGTTTTTAATGAGTCAGTAAAAGTAAAAAAAGAAAGAAAGAAAGAAATCCAGCACGCAAACGCTCCCCAGGGCCAGCAGTCAGATGAGTCAAGCTCATTAAAGCTAACATAAACAATGTGCCGTTTCTCCTCTGCTACAAACCACGCAGGTGAGGTTAAGACTGCGGTTCAAATGCAATCTGCACTACATACAAATCAAATAAATAAATGTGGAAATAACCACCAGTTGCACGCAGAGCGCAGGCTAATACGAGAAACGCGTTATTCCCTCCAAACAAACGTCTTTGTGATTGATCAGCACTCAAGAGTCAAGAAGGAAAAGCCAGTCACGATGGCGAGTCGTTTTTCATTGCAAGTACAAGACAGGAGGAGGTGATGGAGGTCAGTGGAGAGGATGTCAACAATGCACTTTAGGGAAGGACGGTGAGCAGCTTGCGTTAAAGCCCGTCCCTGCTTTATCCAAAGCAGCTTCACATGCAGTGCACATCGCAGGCTGGCCGTGGCAGCTTCACGGCCTGCAGTGTATCAAACAATAACAAACAGTCAAACTAAAGGGAGTCCCGGAAGAGAAGGGGAGCTTCAGGCGCGCACTGAAGTGCTCACAGAAGCCCCAGTTAAGGAATTATTGTTTAATGCCGCATTCGGGATACTTTAATGTTCACATTAGTATGACTGTAGCCTCGAGGGATCACACGAGCGTAGGTGTAGTTTACGGCCCCGGCTGTCTGCAGATGTTCTACATGGGGAATTCATCCCAGTGTCTGATTAGCGTTGAAGGCCAGATCTTTGCACAAGTGCCGTAGTCACGAGTGGCAAAGCAACCCGATAGCCCACAGCATGCGCTCTAAAGGTTTGGCAGGTATCAGAGCGCTTATGGGGAAACATATGAAGCTCCTGGAAACATGTGGGCGCCCCACACATTTGAAGGGGGCTTTTTAAAAAAAATAATAAGGAGGCTCTGTTTTTTACTGACTGCTTAAAAAGCTTTCTGTTTCACACAGAAAAAAACAAAATAGAATAAAATCTCTACAGAGTTTAACGCATTTTCGCGGGTGTTATGCATTTTGTTCTAGTTTGAATTTTTATTTCTGAAGGTTGAGCCTGAAATTAAACAGGAACAATTTCCACACTGACACTCGCTGCGGGTTTTGCGTCCAATCTACCAACCAGATTCTCCCATACAGACCTTTTGTATCCACAGCTTAATTTTTTTGTTATTGTTTTTATTTATTTTTTTAATACTTCAAATTTGCATGTTATATGCATACAAGTTCTGGCAACTGCGGCCATCTCACAGTTACCGACTAAACTGTAAGCCCGTACCCCCCTCACACACTCCTCACCTCTCCTGTGAGAGGCACGCACACACACACACACACACACACACACACACACACACACACACACACACACACACACACACACACACACACACACAGAGGAGTTCGCGGGAGCAGAGCTAAATCCCATCGCGCAGGAGCAGTGATTGAAATCGCGTCTGTATTTCCTGCACGAATCTGGCCTCCTGCGTTTTTTCCTCGATGTATTATTTTTCTTAAAAGAAGAATAAAGAAGAAAAGCCCATCGTGTCCTAATGACTTTACATATCAAACCAATTAAAGGAGTGAGGATTCACCATTTAGCCTAAAGTGGGCTGAAATCGAGGCTTCAGTGTAAACGGTTTATTTTGCGTCTTGTTTTGTGCCTGCGTGGATTTTTGGTGAAGGCTCTAGTCACGTAGTTTTCCAGTTTCTCACTATGAATTTTCAGAGTTTCTAAAATTCCAGCATTTGTTTTATTTATTTATTTTTTATGTGTATTTACACTGTTTTTAACGCTTTTTAAAATCGTAATATTTTAAGGTGTCTGCACTGTAGACCAGCAGTAATAATAAAGAATGGGATATCTTTTATGTCCTTGATATCTCAGTAACACGACAAGCAGGTGACCTCCACTGTCCCGGGATAGTGCTCCGATTCGTGTTAATTTAATTGAACTTGATATTCAGTGAGGCCCTGTGTAGGGCTGGCGACCTGTCCGTACCTCTCATATGTTAGCTGGGATAGGCTCACTCCATAAGAGGTTTAAAAAAAATGGATGGACGGATGATATTCAGGGGCGAGATCAGTATTTTCTCTTCCTAATAACAAATGATAGAGGACACTGGTCGGATCCTTTTCTCCGTCTTCCACTCTGTGGCCGTCTGTCCAAATGTGCTCAGTAAAGCTGGAGCTTTGAAAGAAAGGAGCAGCTTCTCCCTCCTGCAGCTTTCACTTTAGGGATCACCTCCCCCTACAATATCTCTCGTGCGTTTGATTTGACAAAAAATTATTATATTCGCGTTTTTCAGGGATTCTGAAAATCGTGACTTTAGAGCCGTTTAATCTCCTTAAAAACGTTTATTTAGCTGCACAAGTCTGCTCCCCTCCTCCTTCCGAGACTCCTTCTCGGTTCAAATCTCAGTCATCTTTTCTTTGTTTGTGCGCCAGCAGCAGAGCCGATCACAAAACGTGCCTAAATGTTATTAAAGGGGAATACTTGGTGCACCTGTGTGAGGCCGCGGGCTCAGTGTGTTGTGTGCTCTCAGCGCGCTTTAGGGGGCCCAAACAACCTCAGAGCAACATCTGTTTCCAATCTGGAGTCAGCACAGACTCAGCGCTGTCCAGGACGATCACAGAGACTTTTAAATGTCCTGTAGGTGCCGTCCAGAAAAACACACAGGCGATCCCACCCTCCACAGACCGCTCACGGTCCGCGCAAGTTGAATGTCAAAACCTGACAGCAGCAGTGTGCTCTGAGGAGGGACCGACATCTATCGAGTGCTGCATTTAAATCGGAGATACTTCATTTAGCATTCCACGTGGAAATAAGATGCCGCACTTAAAAAAACAACCAAAAAAACCTCAAACAAAACAAAAAAAAAAACCTTATTTCACAACTTTAATGATTTTCGGGAAATTGAGAAAAGGCGCCTTACATAAATATTTGTAATAATACTTTAATAAAATATCACATACTACATCTGAGATAGGCCATTCTGGTGCACGTGCACTTTCATTTGAGATAAAGTAGATTTTGGCTGCACGCACATACTTTATATTTTGAAGATATAAATGCAGAGTTACTGTTCGACTGTTTTTAACAGAGCTAAATTCCCACAAATACTGTAAACACACTAGATTGCTTCTGCATTCATATTTATTAATAGTGTGATACAGGAGGGCTGGAATGTAAGATAGTAAGGCCCATCATTAAACACAACAAATAATATAATGTAATCTATAGGGAGCGTCAGGTCTCCTGTACAGTCAATAAGAGCAGAGGATTGATGACTAGGCTGTTAGACACATGACAGCACTACATCACTTCCAGTCGCAGCATTTTAATCAAATATACTCTTTTTCTTAAACAAGTATGAATGACGTGCCCTCGTGAAAACGACCCTTTTGGATTCAATACCTCGAATTAAACAATAAAGACGAGCAAAGAGAAAGCAGTGTGGCTGTTAAGGAAGAAGAAGTCATCTAACTTCTGCAAAGTGGGAACAGTTACGAGTGTCCAACACACCCAGCAACCGTTACCGTCAGGGTCACAACAAGTCAGGGCCAACAGTTTAAATGCGGGCATTCATTTTAGGCCACAAGGCCGCTCACGACCCAGATGTAGATGTTTCCAGGTAGATGTTTGAGAGCAGGAGAAAAACGCATTTCCCTCAGAATAAAGGAGCGCAGTGTTCTGGTACATTCTAAAGAAAAACTTGGAATTAGGAGCAAACACAGAGGAAAGAAACGACAGGAGAAGAGCCAGACCTCTGCACAAACTGGGGATCCCATGCGCGTGCACATGCACACTCCGCGCACGCAACCTGCGGTTCAAACCTGGATTTGCAGCTTTTATTTCCCACATTTCCTTAGATTTAAAAAAAGAAAAACAAATTAGGCCTTCTATACAATTTATTGTGTTTCATGAGAAAACAAACAGACACGATGTTAAAAGACTTTTTTTATTGTACCAAATGGATCCCCTGCTCATATTAATAAAAGATAAAAATATCCATTCATTTCTATTCATTCATTTTACTTTTTCCACGTCACACTTCAGGGGAAAAGATTTCAGCGTTGACAGTCCCAAAACAATGGGAAAAAAAAATACAATAAAACCCCTCAGTAATAACAATAAAACATAATCAGTGTTAAAATGTAAAAGGTATTTAATCAATCTAAATATGAGAAACAGACAACAGATACAACAACAACCATTATTCACTCGAACACCCGCAACAAGACAATCAATTGATTTAGAAGAGTCATACAGGTAAAAAGGAAAGGTGGGTCTTCCACTATGGGTCTCAGTGGAAGAACCCAGGAGTGCTAAAACATGCCCGACTGACTTGGCCTCAGGCATTTGGATTTTTCTTCATGAGATCGATGTCTGCATCGACCATCTCCTTCACCAGATCCTGCAAGGGGACAGGATCAGATTTATATATTTGGAAAGGTTGATATCTCTAAAAGGTAAAGACACAAACATAAAATACATGAAGTAAGGCTCGTTTACACCCGCGGTTCAAACTCGGCCTACGTGAAGACCTCCCTTCCACACACAGTTATACTGCAGCT